GGACGCACTAGTCCACCGCGAAGCCACCTAGCGAGGTTGAGTCCGGTCCTCGATGATCAAGGCGTGCTGCGCGTCGGAGGACGTCTCAAGCATGCTCAGCTACCACTCGACGAAAGACATCCAATGATCATCCCGGCGGCATCATGGTTGACTCGGCTGGTGATTGATTCCTGCCACCGACGGACACTGCACGGAGGTGTGCAACTGACTCTCGGCTTGCTCCGCCTGCGTTTCTGGGTGCCCCGAGGAAGGACCACCGTCAAACAGCAGCTACACCGATGCGTGACCTGCACTCGATGGCGCGCCGCAACACCACAGCCTCCGATGGGTAACCTTCCTCGGGACCGAGTAACGCCAACTCGACCGTTCCTCAGCACCGGTTTGGACTACGCGGGACCAATCCTCCTCCGGACCAGCAAGGGGCGTGGACACCGTGCGCACAAGGGATACATCGCCGTCTTCGTCTGCTTCTGGTCGAAGGCCATTCACTTAGAAGTTGTCTCGGACTACACCTCGGAGGCCTTCATCGCCGCGCTGCGCCGCTTCATCTCCCGCCGGGGTTTGTGCGCTGAGATTTACAGCGACTGCGGCACGACTTTCATCGGGGCAGATCGGACGCTGCGAGGTCTCTTTAACGCAGCGACAGCCGAAGGTCAAAGTGTCATCCTTGCCGCCACCACTCAAGGAATCCGCTGGCACTTCAACCCGCCAGCGGCCCCGCACTTTGGTGGTTTGTGGGAGGCCGCCGTAAAGTCGACCAAGTTTCACCTCCGTCGGGTGATCGGCGAGACCACCCTCACGTTCGAGGAGTTGAGCACACTCCTCGCCCAGATCGAAGCTTGTCTGAATTCACGTCCGTTACAGGCACTCTCAGATGATCCAGAGGACGTCTCGGCGCTGACCCCCGGTCACTTCCTCGTTGGGGCACCGCTCCTCGCCTTGCCGGAACCGTCATTGACAGAGCAGACGGTGTCCACCTTGTCACGTTGGCGTCATCTGCAGCGGATGAGGGATCACTTCTGGCAGCGATGGTCATCCGAATACGTGCACGGACTCGCCCCACGCACCAAGTGGCTCAAGGATGCACCTGCACCCCACGTCGGCGATCTCTGTCTCGTGCGCTCCGAGATCACCCCTCCGAGCCGATGGCCTCTCGCTCGCATATTGCGTTTGCACCCCGGAGACGACGGAATTACACGCGTCGTGACCATCCGAACGGCCACGTCCGAGCTCGTGCGCCCACTCGTCAAGCTCGTGTTTCTTCCGGGCGTGAACGACGCGCCTACACCGCACATTGACACATAGCATCACTCACTACACAATCATCACATCATGCACCATATCAATTGTCACACATCACTTGTTTCGCTCACCACCGCACTAAAACTTGTCTCATTTTCACCGCTCACTGCATCTCACACTCGCCGTTCACATCTGCCACATGTTTTCGCCGTTCCAGCTGATCGATTCACATCACGCGATCACCACGTGTTTTCGTCGACTCAGCTGATCGATTCGCAACACGCGATCATCACGTGAATTTCGCCGCGCCGACGCGAGCCCGCCCCACCATCAATCACTATCGGAATGTGATCCGCGCCGAAATCATCACCAACCATTTGTCACGTTGCGACAAGGCGGGCGGGATGTTTGAGATGCAAAATAATTCTTATCGCCAGTTAAATTATTTCGGCAGTAAAATGTAATTAGGATTTTCATATATTATACGTTTTCAGTCGAGACAAGGTTCGATCTCGAAAATAGTTATTGTTAAATTCTAGAATCTTCGATCGGCAATAATAAAGTCACATTTGTTTGTAATGGAATAAAAAAGAGTCGTAAATTGACAGCTGTCACATAAAAAAACGCTCAAATACACAAACAAGTAACGGCAGCGCAACCGTTCCGCCGAATAATTATATGCTATGGAGCATGCGCCACTTTAAAATCACGCAAATTATTGGCGCTTCACGCGAGGGTGGGCTCCTCTCCGAAAATGATAAAAGAGGAGCTCACACCCGGTTTGGGGTCTTATCGCTTTCCGCCGTGTACGCATAAGAGTAAACCGCTTAGAAAAACCGCAGAACATTAAATCGACGACCACCGCCTTTTCTTGTGATTTCGAATTGTCCGCTGAAACTGATTAGATTTTGTGTTAATTTTTTTGTGCGTTTAATTGTTAAGTATTGTACATTATATTTCCGTAAAGATTCGTATATTAAAAGTTTCTTTTATACTAAAAGTGACTCATCCTTTTTTTGGTGTCGTTCGATTCCTCTCACGCAGCGCGTTCGCGAACATATTTCTGATGAGATGCGCGGCAGCACAAAGGCCACCACGCGCTCCGAGTGATATCTCTTAAGACAAAGATTTAAGATTAATCATTAAGATGAACGAAAGAAAGGGAGAGAAAGAAAAAGAGAGAGAGCGAGAGAGAGAGAGAGAGATAGAGAGAATGAGTAATCAATCATGTAAAATAATAAATAAAGTACAAGAAAAGGATTTTGATACTAATCTCGAGGAACAAATAAATAAGACACAAAAAAATCTCTCATCGGTACAAGTGAAGCACAAAATGTATCATTTACTGAAATTTCATTGAACAATGAAGATGGATGTTCGATACACTTTCCTGTTATATCTGATTGTACCGGTATACTTTTTCAATTCTGAATAAAAAAAAACATTTTATAAATAAATAAATTAATATATATATATAATTTTTAAAAATAAGTACATATAATTTAAAAAATAAATATATCTTTAAAAATAAAAATTTTTAAATATTATTTTAAAAATAGATGCGAATATGTGCATAACTGCGAAACCACTTGGAACAAATGCAAAAAGGATTATTCGCGATAGCAATAAAAAAATGCAGTAAAACCTGTAAACATTACAAGTAATATGCAAAAAAATATAACTCAGTATTCTAAGGATGATACAATTAAGGAAAATATTCGTTATATTGATGAACCTGATAATGGTAAAGTATTTTTAGTAACTTTTGTTGTACTTACATACACACACGCGCGCGCGCGCACACACATACACATACACACACACACAAAGTACCGAAATGCTATTATTAATTGAACATTTTCTATAATATGTACTTTATAAATTTCTTTTAAATATTGCATTCAAACGACAAGTCTTACGTCAATTAAATATTATTAATTTAAAACAATGGTTCCCAAAGTGAGCGATATCGCCCCCTAAGGGGCGATGAAATGATTAGGGGGGCGGTAGTAGTTTCAGATGCAATGGGGGGGGGGGCGTTAAATAAACATAAGGGGGCAGTGAAAGCATGAACTAAAAAGAGAAAATAAAAAAATTTTTTAAAACCGTTTGTATATATTTTATATGTTCGTGTGTATGTGTATTGTATAACATAAAATTAAAACGTAATTAAAATATCAAATTCTTAAAATTCTACTCTACGAGATCAACGCACCACCAACCGTGATGGCTCGGAATCATCTGTTTTGTTTTTGTATTTATTTGTAAATAATACTGAGCTAATAATTTCATTAAATTTGTATAAAATTAAAAAAATTGTAGTAATCATTTTACAATTTTCCAAATACCTATATATAATATCATATTGCTAACGAAGCTCGAACAGTGAAGAAAATATTGTAATACAGATATACATATATCAAAATATACATATATCTTTTATATATATATATATATCAATATCACTTTGACTAAGTTTTATTAATAAATCTTTTAAAAGTATTGCTTTTCTTTACCTGTTACAGAATTGATTAAATAATGTGCAATGGGTGTTTTAAAGGACCTATTAATGCAGACTAGCATAAAAACTAATGCTTTAGTAGCTATCTTCAGTTCGTTGTTATTGTCAATTTCATCCAACTGTCCACCTGAATCGACAACACCTTTCCATTTGTGAGCATTTCTATCCCAATGTTTCCATTTATGGATGTTCATCTCGTCAAACGTAACATTAAAAATAAGCTTTTTGCCTTTCTGAAATTCTTGCTTTACCATATTTGACACGTGTTCTATTAATTCTTTGGATATACCTGGTTTATAATTTTTTGAAGACAACCAATTACTGAGTGATTTGACGGAAGGTAAACACTTGAGATAGCTTTGTCTCACAAATTCATAAGCAGCTGGAGAGTAAAAATGTAAGGTTCTGGCAAAATTTTTAATTGAACAGGAAACGCAGTTGTGGTTTGTTTTTCTTTTATACGAAATATCAATTCTTGTAAGTGTTCAGGTAATTCCTAATTAAAAGAAAAAAGTAGTTACAAAAAATTTTAAATATTTTAAGTTAATCACAATCGTTTTATAATATAAAAAAATGATTAAAATACAGATTTTTTTTACTGTTTCTTACAAAATGTACAGTTCTTATAACTGTACCATTATTTATAAAATAATTAATCAAACTTAAAAATAAAAGCATTATACTAAGTGAAAATAAACAATGCATATTAACATAGTTCAATAGACTGAAATATATAATGCTAATGATCGTATATTTAAATTTCTCTCACAATTATACACTTTATAATACAATTATAGTACAAAGTACATTTCACATAAAAATAATTAATCATTAAAATACAATTGATTGAAATAGAAGTATGTACAATTTAAGTATTACAGTAAAAAGTTACATGAATTTTTCTATTACATAATAAGCGATTTTTGGCGATCATCTGGTATATGTACCAAGGTTATTATTGGTAAGGGTGGAGCTTATTCTGGTACCTTGAGAATGTTCTGGTATACTTTGGTATACCTTGGTACATATACCAGACAATCACCAAAAATCGCCTAAAATATGATTGAAATGTATGTTGAAACTGCACTGCAACGTATAATTACAAATTTACCTGTAAACATTCAGCAGCCTCAGAAAACTGTTTCTTCTTCATGGTTTTGATTAGTTCTTTTATATTATTATTTATTTTTTCTTTCCTAAATAACTTCATATGGGAAGCAGATTTCTTCAATTTTCAGAAGCCATAACTCTTACAAATCGCTCCCAAGCTTCATCTGAAGCAAAGTGCTCTCTTGAAAAAGACTCTGGCTGACTTCCGACCATAAAACAAATTTTTTTGGGTGAATGTCGACAACAAATGATTTTCTAAACATCAATAATACAATTAATAATACAATTATTTTATAAAATATTAAGCTTAAAATATTTAGCAGTAAAAAATTTTACAAAAATTCTAATGTACCTTTTATTATTGTTTCTGGGACTTAAATTATCATGTGTTTCAAAGTTGTCTCCGTTATTAGTATCCGTACTTGTTGAAAATGTATTTTCGTCACTTATTGTCATATCTTGATGATTCGTTATGTCACCAAGTGCTTGAGTAGATACGTTGTTAATTGGTAAAGATAATTGATTAGTGTTTCGATTAAAAGGGACAGCAGTTGATATTAAACGTCTCAAAGTTGTATATCCATCAGTCTGATGAAATGATTCTTCATAGAAGTGGTCGCTACATATACTGGCTGACTTACAAACTGTCGTCACACCAATAGCTTCCATCCACTTCTTTTTTAATTCAACATTAACGGGAAAACTGTAATTCAAAATTAAATATAGTTAAAATCGGAGGTGGAGCAGCTAATCTGAATAAATACCAAATATAGAATAATATTTGGTATTTTCATATGAATTTTAGGTTAAGGTATTTTGATAATACACACTTCAAATAATAAATTTATCAATATTTAATAAACTTACTTGTGAAAACTTCGAGATATATTAAACGGAATAGGTTGCTTTTTACACACAATACACGTTCTTGTCATTTTTCTTTATGATTGTGTCACAGCGCGTCAATTTAATTTCTCCTCTTCTTTATTTATCTGACTGAATCCGAATAAATGCATAAAATTATATGCAAGATTAATAAATTCTTAGCTACAACACCATATTGTAGGTTAAAAAAAAACCCCCTCAGTAGTCTCAACGATACCTCCCCACTCAACTCCATTCAGCTTGATGCGCGTGCAACGTTAGACAAGGATAAAGATGGGCGTCTCATATTCTTTCTCTTTCTATTGCCTCACGTTTTCCACTTACAGGAGTCCCATGCCTATTACACACCTTGAGAACGACTCTCCTTTGAGAAGTGCAAACGAGCAGACGTGTTATTAAATCGTGCGCATAAGAGGAATTAGCAGAAACCGTCAGTAAAATACTTATTGATTTGGAAATTGACATATCTAATTGTAGAGGCCAATCTTATGATAATGCTGCTAATATGTCTGGTGCTTATTCGGGACTTCAGATGAAAATCAAAGAACTAAATCCTTTAGCTGAGTATGTATCATGTGCTGCCCACTCTTTAAATCTCGTAGGAAACTGTGCCGCAAGTTGTTGTACTGAAGCAACAAATTTTTTCGGTGTCCTCCAGGAACTTTTTAATTTTTTCTCGGCATCCACACACCGGTGGGAAATATTACAATCATATATGAAAGCCAAACTAACACTGAAGCGATTGTCAACAACACGATGGTCTGCTAGAGATGACGCTTGCCGAAGTTTGAATGAATCTTGGTTGGAGATTATTGAAGCTTTATCCTTCATTGAAAATAACGCAGCAGAAAAAATATAACCAGAAGTGAAGCAAAGGGATTGCGAATTCGTTTAGAACGATTGGAAACCGCGTTTATGGCTGTATTTTGGGGCACTTTACTTTGAAGATTAAACGCATCAAGCAAGAAACTACAAAGTATAGATATTGATATTGTAAAAGTCTGCGTTACTATTTTCAAATGACTCGAGAGTTAAACGTTAGTCTCTTTCCTTTGGATCCTCGTCTGGAAACTTCTCGAATGTTCTCTGTACGTCAAGTAACCGATGTTTAAGACTAAATTTAAAGGCGAATTGGATGCCACAGGAGCCCGTACGCACTGCAAAAGGTTCTCGCCAGGATTGGAGCGTTGTTAGGTGAAATTCAACTGACACTGATTTTAGTAATAAAGATTTAATAACGATCGGAATGCTTCTACAATTTGACACTTCTCGAAAGTACTCTCATGCGCACGATTTACTAACACGTCTGCTCGTTCGCACTTCTCAAAGGAGAGTCGTTCTCCTCGACTTCAAATCTAACGGCCTCCGGCCCGCGGTCGCGCTCGCATGCGCGCGCATATCTTTTGGCCACCCTATATGCTACGGTGGCAGCACCGCACGGGTGTCGGAAACGACGCTAACGCCGGACATTGCGTATCGCGGTAATTATTTACGCGCCGCTTACAATATCTCCATTGTTTTAGAATTGTATAAGTCTCTTATTAATTTCGTCCGAAGGATTAGAAACGACTTTGATGAATTTGAGAACAAAGCGAAATTATTGTCAAATGAGCAGAAATATGAAAGATGTAAATCCCGAATAAAGAAAAGAAAATTGCAACTTGACGAATCACGAGATGGCGATGCTGATGAAACGTTCAGCAGCAGAGATCGTTTTCGAATTGAAACATTCCTCGTAATTTTAGATAGTTTACGAACTGAATTAGAAAAACGGTGTTCTGGATATGAAATTATATATGATAGATTCATTGTGCTCATCAAATTAAGAGAGTTGAGTTCAGCAGAAATAAGAAAACATGCTATCCGCGTCTGTGAAAGCTTTCCAGATGATATTGAAGTCAGTATTGTTGAAGAATTCTTACATTTGCGTGAACAATTACTCTTGCCCGAAAATATCCGTGTCAGTGCAAGATATATGCACATGGATGTATAAAAATGACTTATACGATGTGTATCCGAATGTGAATATTGCAGCAAGAATATTAGAACTGAAGCATCCTCAAACTGTACGGCTGAACGTTCATTTTCGTGCTTACGACGAAAAAAAATTACTTGCGATCTACATTGTCAAAAGATAGATTAAACGCATCGGCAATTCTGTCAATTGAGTCGGAAATATGTCAAGAATATCTTTTGATGACGTTATTCATTCGTTTGCCAAAATAAAAGCGAGGCGACATTTTTTTTTAAACTTTGATATTCTTTTTAAACAAGAAAATTGTTTTTGTTAATGTAGTTCCTGATTTCCAAAGATTAGTTTAAGTTAAGTTTAAGATTTAAGCTGATTATTTGATATTCCAAAAAAGATTTTTTTAAAATTAATGGAGTGTGTTATTTACTATTATTCAGAGAATCTTATATAAGATACCGTTTCCTATTTTATTATCAATTCTTATTAATAAATAAAAAATTTCCCCTTGCTCTACTGTCATTAAGGGGCAGCAAATTTGATTTAGCCTAGGGGCGGCAGAAACCAAAATCCGCCACTGCAAACATTAGAAGTAACGAACGTTAAACAGACAAAGAACAAGGAAATCTTTAGTATAGTATAGAAGATCATTCTTCACGATACATCTGCTCAATGCAACAGTCTAAAATATTGCATAATATATTACGATAAGGTTCTAATATTATACAATTGATTTGGCAATTTTTATATCGTAAATTATAAAAAATGATTTTTGAACATAATAACATACATTTAATTGTCATTTACTAAAATAAAATTAAAATAATATATAAATAATATATAAATATATATTTTATATACCA